CCTCGAAAAGACGGGATCACATGACCTTGGGCGGGCCGTCACGTGACCTGGGCGGGGGAGGAGGGGGAGGAGGAGGAGCGGGGGGGAGGAGGAGGAGGGGGAGGGGCGACGCCGACGCCGACGCCAACGCCAACACCGACGCCAACGCCGACGCCGACGCCGCACAGGCTGGAAACGGGTCATGTGACCCCCTCCCCCCGAGGTCACGTGACCCGCCCGGACCATACTACACAATGAGGGGAGAAGGAGAAGGAGGAAGAGGAGGAGGAGGGGAGGAGGAGGGGGAGGAGGAGGAGAGGGAGGGGCGCGGTTACGCCGACGCCGACGCCGACGCCGCTCAGGCTGGAAACGGGCCCCTAAGAGCTGCGCTCTAAAAAATAGTGGGTATACCTCAAGACATCTAGCTTTGAGGTCTACCCCCTTTCCTTTCGACTAAAGCCAATCAGAGCTCGGCGTCGTTCTGACGTCACCACAACCCCCACGCAAGAAGTAGACGACTTGTTCTACGTAGTGCCTTTACGCTCGCGTACGTTTCGTAATAAATTAGTTTATCATACCGAAACCGAGGCCAAAGCACATCTGACGAGGGGAAGTGTTCCCGGGAGATTCAACTGATGAATGAAACCCCAACTTCACCTTAGTTGTTATGCACGTCACCAAAACATGGTACTGCTTTAATAACTTATTAGCTTATTTTATAATAGTTAGTCCAATACAAAAGGTGTAACGCAAGGTAGAGTTCTCAAACTTGAACACACGAAACACGACGGCACTGCTTGAAATATTATTAGTCATGGTAAGTCTATATCTCCCGACATTGCAGTATTTCTTCTTCTACTCAAGTTTTTTTTTTTTTTTTTTTTTTTTTTTTTTTCTTTGAGAAGGTACAGTGGCATTCCCGGAATCTTCGACTTGGCTGGTACCTTCCTTCATATGGTTTTCCAGGGGGCGATGAAAACTGATTTTGCTAAAGAACGTTGGATGGATGGGTGGATAGTAACGGCTGTACCCTTTATAACGGGTGGTATCTCGCGTCACCTGGATGGATGGATGGATAGATGGATGTTAATGGCTATGCCCTTTTTAACGGGCGGTAGCTTGCACTACCTAGCCCAGACAAAAATATATGATTCCTCCCGCCTTTCTAGGACCAATTTTCTCACCCTAACTATCACCAGGCAGTGTGGGATATCACCAGGATGACCTTCGGGGGATCGAGCAAAAAAAAAACTAAAAACATCACCCCCCTGCCTCTTCTCCCCGGTGAGGGAGTCGCCAATTTTCCTCTGGCCAAACCTTGTCGGCTTTACCGCAACACCGGACCCACTGGGAGACAGGGTTGAGTCTTTCGGCTGGAGCGACGCGGGAGGGAGTCCCAGTTTTCCTCTGTCCCGCCTGTTCCCAGCTGTGCTAATTAGTTGCCCATCATTCAATTTTTCCTACGTAATTTCTATGAATCTTCTAATCCTTTTCTCTTCCGTCCTTCCATCATCGCAGTTATTCCCAGGGCCCCGGCCAAATCCGTTATCTCTTCAGGGAGGGCAGGGCGAAGCCCTGTGCACTTCAAAACCAAGTGCTCTAGTGTCTCGCTATCATTATGGCAGGCGGCACATAGTAGAGAGTTTTAGCACATCGTATTTTCGCCCCGATAACGATACCCGATAACTAGGGTGACCAGACGTCCCGTTTTGGCCGGGACAGTTCCGTTTTTGAGGTCCGCATCTGCCGTCCCGTCTTTTTTTTTCCAATAAAGAATCATATCCCGTTTTCGGGACATTATTCTTTTTTTTTTTTTTCGCCATATATGTCCGCAGACTTTTACAGCCGAGTCTTGCAGGATAAAGTCCCGCTTAGTAAACTTCAGTCGTCGGCGAAATACGACCACACAAAGAACCCGAAGCAGGACCTTCCAAATGAGTGCATGCAACTGAACCGTGAGTGGGATTATTCCCTCGGCCCTAAGGCTTAGTGCAATGTGGTAACGTTTTGCAATGAGAGCAGTTATTTCCTTAAAGTTTTTTTCCCAATCTCAATCTTTAAAACGCCCCTTCTCCCTCCCCCCCCCCCCCCCCCCCTCCCCACTGGGATGTCCCGTTTTCTACCTTGAGGAATATGGACACCTTACCGATAACGATACGATGCATGCCCAAGGCCGCCAGAGGGAAGAAGAGGTATCGTTTTTGGGGCGAAAAAACGATCTGCTAAAACTCTCTAATGTGTCTGTCTCCTGAAATTTAGCCCTATACGTCCTCGTCCTCAAAAATCCCATTCTCGCCTCAAACAGCAAAGAACTTCCCAGTGAATTACTAAGCACATTTTCATTTTTTATGTCCTGCTTTCGTGACGTATACGCTGTTAGAGCTGATTTCTCCTGTATTCTTCACTCCCACACTTTCCTCTCTGCCTCCATCACCCCCTTTTTCACTTAAGTATTTCATTCAGCCCCTTCACCGGTGTATAGATATTTAAATGTAAGCTTTCGGCTTCGGTTTGTCCAATTTGTGTTTAAACTTTTCATGTATAAATACTTGAATACCTTCCTTGCCCACCGCGTATCATCCATTTCGGTCAACCTTTGTTCGAATTTCAACCTTCTAATTGCCTTCCTGCCCTCAAAAGACGAACATCCCATGTCCCCCTATACTCCCTCATTTGATGTTTTTCCATGTGCTCCCAGTGCCACCCTGCCTCTGCTCTTTTGTCAAATTTTTAATCCTAATCGAACCTCTGATTTCATGCACAGTACTGCATTGCCAAAAGTCCGTCCTGGTACCATCACTCCTTTCCATATACATCTGACCACTTCAGATCTATTACAGTTCCATAGTGCCTTGAGCTTCATAATAGATGAATTTCGTTTCCATTTTTAATTATATTCTCCTCGTGTTCCTCTAAATATTTCCTTCCCTCATTGAGCCAAGCTCCCAAATATTTGTATTTTCCTACATGGTCTATTACAATGTCTTTTATCTTTCAGGGTTCTCTCTTTTCGTTGTTAAACACCATTACTTAGACTTGTCACTTCTAAAACTCATGCCCAAGGTGTCCCCTTTCTTTCCACACACTCCAGCTAGTTCCTGTAATGTATCCTGGTTATCTGTCATCAGTACTCTTCATCCGCCTACATCAGTTATGATATTACATTATTACATTTCTCCCTTCTTCCATGTAACTCACATCAAAACCTAAGTTGCTCTGCTCTAATTTCTTTTCCATGTTACTGAGATATATTATGAAGAGCAGAGGTGACAGTGGACAGCGCTGCCCGAGTCCTATTTTTATTGCTGCGGGTTGTGTAGTTTCTGCTTCCCATGTTATGACTACCTTATTGTCTGTGTACACCTGCTGAAGAAACCTAACCAAATGTGTATATACATTATATTCCTTCAGCTGACCCCAGGGTTTTTCATGGCTCACATTATCGTACGCTCCCTTGATGTCCAAATAAGCTAACCCTAAAGTCTTAAAACGTTTTGATTCGAACTTTTGGCAGGGGAGGATCCAAAGGAGAGGGGGGGGGGGGGGGGGGGGGGCGACGGTGGCGGCCGCCCTCCCCCCCAAACTAAGTCCGAGCCCCCCCCTCCCCCTTCTCGTAGGGCAATTTGACATGGGTAGACACCCGGCCCCCCCCCCCCCCCCCCCCCCCCCCCCGAAATAAAATTGATTACCGGCCTGCCCGGTGGTAGAAGGCTCGGTACTCAAGGACGAGGGTTCAAAATAGGGTAGGTTGCACCCTAACAGGCACACTTGTACTCTGAACTTGGAGAACCACTCCCTCGAATGGGAGAATAGTATGCTTACAAATTTTCCCGCCCCCCCCTCTCCCCCCACAAAACGAACTTGTGGATACGCCCCTGACTGTTGGCAATATATTTTACCGTAAGTTGTAAAAGTTTTAGTGTAATCGGATAAGTAGTTTCTGAGTAAAGGTACATCAAATTTCCAAATATTGCAAAAATGTCATTTTGAGAAAAACTGTTTTATGTGTCCACACAATGGTAAATGGCCAGAAGGCGCGGAATCTGGCACCATATTTAAGTGGCTTGAAACGCTCGTTCGGTCTTGTCGCTTTCTAATTTTGTTCCTCAGACTGCATATAAACTTTTAACACAAAAACTGCAAAATAGATTTTTTGGTTGGTTTACCCTACCGCCTTACCCCCCCCCCCCCCCCCCCCCCTTTTTTTCCGCAGGTGTGGCGAACTTTTTTTGCGGAAACTGCATTTTGGCGCAAGATGTAGCAGACTATGGTTCATGGCGCGATTTGACGCCAATGGCGCAGCACTTTCATCACTGCGAGTGTTTTGGCGCACCGCAGCTCGGAGCACGAGAAGCAAAAGCTCCCGTTGCAGAACACACTGTTCCCGGAAAAAATTGGGTTCTGTGTATGCTTATACTGCCTAGAACTTGGGGTCTGCCTCAATGGGCGACGAACCTCATAGCACTGATTCAGGACTCAATCTATGCCACCTGTAGAAGACGAGGAGTGCGCATTGCATCATGAGCGGGTCCCCGACCCACCCCAAGCTTCAAACGTGCTGAAGCTCGACGACAGGTACCGCAAAGCGGAAGATCAGCGCGTTCGGCTTGGTGTCGCGCTGGTTAGAAGACGATGCGAGACGCGCTGGTGACGATGCTATCGCAAGTTCACTGCGTGCATTCATCATGACGTTTGGGGCGGAAAAGACGCCGGCCTTGTCTCGTTGGTCGTATTGACTCGATCCCTCAGCCCGTTTTGATCTGGATAAACGTCGTACAGACGCGTGCGGTTGTGTATCACTACTGCGCGGTGCACGTTCAAGATACGAGGCTCTAGCAGAGGTACTGCACTGGCTAACTTTCTCGTCAGCGGAAACCCCAGACGCCCACTGGGCGACCAACTTCCCTCCGTCTAAGCGTGCGCGCAATTACTAACCCGCTTTGTTTTCGAGCGTGAACCCGGTGGGCCTCTCGGCGTTCGTGCGCGGGTGCTTAATGATGGCCCCCCGCGCCCCGGCGCAGATTCCTGTCTACCGGGGCTGCGAGCGTCCACTGGTGCAAAAGGGGGTGACGTGCCCCCAGTGCCACGGCCAGGACGGGCTGGGCGGCGTGGCCGAACAGCTGCCTCTGCCGGACAACCACGCGGAGGAGCCTTGCAAGCACGCCTCGGCCGCCATGGTGGAGCTGGTCCGGGCCCATCCAGGCTCGGTCACCCTGGTCGCGCTGGGGCCCCTCAGCAACGTGGCGCTGGCGCAGCGGCTGGACCCCGGATTCCTGGGCGCCCTGAAGCGTCTGGTCATCATGGGAGGCACCTTTGACGGTGAGGGTCCAATGTGCCTCCCATCTCAGTGCAGGCACGGTTTGCCATCCCAAACTTCGATGGCAAAATGAAAATACGGGAACGGTCGCCAGAGTTATCACATCAGAGAGTTTTTGCCTGGGTGTTTCTCATCGTCGGGATGTCATACCACTTCTCGCCTTAACACGAACTGTTTGTTTTGCCTTCTGAAACGTCTGGCAACCTGGACTTGACCTCACCCCAAGTTTCCAGACAGTTATCAAATGCTGCTACACCTAGCTTAGTACTGATGCAACGGTACCTGCAATGCGTTTTCGACTGGTGTGTTTAGCGTCCTATCCTGCCCATACATAAAAAAAAGATTCAAAACTGGTTCCAAATTGCAGCAAATGACGTCACAGCACCCGGCGTGTCATGCTGTCGGATGTCGCGATCCTGGCTGTGGGGCGTAGTAGTCCCGGCAAAGAGTACGAGCGAACGGGAGTGTCGCTGTCGTCGCGGCATCCCAACTCCTGACTGCCGAAGTTTCCGTAGACTGTCAAGCTGGAGAGCGATCAGCAGCAAAACCTGCGTCTGCCCCACATCCGTCACAGTTGGTGGGACCCTCCCAGGATCGCGGACGACGATGCCATGACACATTTATGACGTCATCAAGCGGAATTGGAATGACCACTTTTTTAGGAGGAGTGCCCAATTTTTTCTAGGAGGCGATAAACACACCAGTTGGGGACGCGCTCCTGACATCATGCTGACACTGTTGTCCGATCTCAGCCCGGGGCAACGAGACGGCCGTCGGAGAGTTCAACTTCGCATGGGATCCTGAAGCGGCCAGCGTGGTCCTCAGCGAGGCCGAGTGCGAGACCAAACTCCTCACCTTCGAACTTTGTCTACAACACACCATCGACTGGGTCAGTGACCCGTTGTTTCTGCATCGCTTCGTTCGTTCGGATAGTCTGGAAAAAGACCGAGAAACAATTTGTAGAATTCGGCAATTAGTGCTTTCATGGTACGAACATGGATCTTCGGATGTCTCTTTGTTTATTATTTCATTCAAAATACCCATAAAGACCCTGCAAAGGGGGAGGGGGGGGCTATTACACAAAGGAGGAAGAGGGATACATAAAATACGGAAAGGAATTTAATTATTACTGGTAGCAAAAGAAAAACAAAACGGAAACATGCAAAATCTATTATTACGATAATACTATAAGGGTGTTTTCATCGCAGTTCAGACACAATTTCTTGGGTCGAATTTCTAATTTTGACCAAACAAGATATATGTACTAGATAACAGAAAGTATAAAACAGAGAGAGGACGAAACACAGACGAGTACATAACAGATAGTACAGATAACAGAAAGGATAAAGCAGAGAGACAGAGATATATAAAACAGATATAGCACAGAGATATAAAACAGATAATAGAAAGTATAAAACAGAGAGAGTACATTCGTCCTCTCTCTGTTTTATACTTTCTGTTATCTAGTACATCTTACCAACACGCTCGTTAGGAATATAAGATATGTGTTTTGGGAGCATTCTTTAAATAATAAATGTATGCAGTTCACGTTTCAACAGCCGGAAGTTATACTCCATCTCATAAACATCTATAGTGAAGACAAAGAAATTGGCACGAGCGCGTGCCTTTAGAAAATGCCTTTTATGCACAATTCCTCATAGGGAAAAAAAAGAAGAACAAGCATACTGCTGAGCTAGGCTAACGTACCTATGATTCTGCCTTTACGGCAGGCATTTGGGACACGGAGTATAGTCAGACTCAGTCGGCGTCTGGTGTGTCAACTGCATACGTGCGAAATACGGTCACTGCAGTACATTGATGTCACTGTAATCTGGACTGATCATTAATACGAACACCCCATTATATGGACACCATTTTCGGGGACGAACTGGGTAAAGACGTCAATCTTTAATCTCGTTCTTATAGACCAACAATTAGTATTATGAACAGTTTTGGGGGAAAACAGAGGTGTCCACATTAACGAGACTCGACTTTAACATTGCCAGTGTGGTGCCTTTAATGTGCATCACGCAGTAGTGGCACACGATTGCACGCCGGTTCGACATACTCATCCTGTTTGAAACGGGCAGGGTTGAGAATTTAACCTAGGATCCCTGGATTCTGCGGCGCGAGCTTGCACTCCGCACGCTCCGAGCTGCAATGCAGCGCTGGCCTACGGATCCCCATGTGGCGGGTTCGAATCCCGGCCGAGGTGCCCGCAATCTGACGGAGGCTTATAGCGGAGAAGGCGCCGTGTAACCGAGCTTTCGGTTGCACGCCAAAAGATCCCCAGGTGGTCCAAATTAATCCTCAGTCCTTCGCTGGGGCGTGCCAGATGCCCGTCGTTGGTTTGGCACATAAAACCCCCAAATTTGACTTTGTCGCCCCCCCCCCCCCCTTTTTCCTTTTTTTATTTTTAATGTAAAAGAGCGCGAACCGTACTCATAGCGGGTTATTTTTTTTTTTTTATATAGTTATCGACAATTGAAGGGCGGTTGAGGAGAAAACGGACGTTCCTTCCACCTGTCGGGGATCGCGCGTTTGACCGCTCGCTATTTTCTCACCTTTCAAAATACAACACTGTGGCTCTTCTGTGAGACTCTAGGAATACATTTCATTATGTTTTCATTTTTCATTAACGAGCGGGCAAATATACCATCTGCGACACATACGGGAAAGGTCAATTTTCGCTAGAGCCGCTTCATTGGTCAAGGATTTAAGAACAAGAAAATTCGCCTAGCTTGCCGCTTGCCCTCTTTCATTTCAAGAACGGTTCCAAAACATCATTTTTGTCAAAATTGAAAATTCTACCCCAAAACCGAGTTTTAATTTAGATGAGAACCTCCATAAGTAAAATGCAAATCATTACACAAAATAAAAAAAAAACACAATGTTTTGATCGTTTTACGTGAGTTCATAAAATTTTGTTACATCATCTTCGGTGTCTGTGTGTGCTGGTATGTTATTTTGATCGACTATTTTTCAGGGTGTAAATGATCGGGCCCCCGCAGGGGGCACCTGTGAAAGCAGGTGTTTGGAGAGTTGCGTCTCCACGGACCCCGAGCTCCGCAGGGGGCGCCTGCACCTTAGGTGCTAGGTGCTTGGTGAGTAGCGTCACCACGGACCCCAGCCACTTTGGCGACACCACAGACCCTGAGTAAAAAGTGGCTAAGACCCACCCACGTCTGGCTGTGCGTGGCGAGCCCGTGTCCAGGGAAAAGGGCATCCTGGTGGTTGAGCTGAGCCCGGGGTAGGTTTGGACCCTTCGGGGCCCCCCGGGCGAGGCAACACACCACTTTGGTCCCTGCTTCCTGTAGACGGGTGTCCTGGCTTGGCCCAACCAGGATGATTCAGTCAGTCGCCACATCTTCTACTATCCCCTCTTATCTTTCTCTTTTCTCTGCTCTTCTTTCTTTCATATTCACCATCTTTGGCGGCAAGGGCTAACCTTGGGTGGCGATAGACCCCTTGTCTAGACCCGCACTAGGTTATAGTGTCTTGGTAGCACTGATAGCGTAATGTCGTCAGCAAAACCTTTATTGCTATGGCGCATTACCTATCCCCATGTTGGGCTCCGTGGTGGGTGGTGCGCTACAGACGCCGAACGCCTCCCCATTTATTATGGGTTCCAAGCTAAACAAAAACTCTGATCGGGCTCTGAAAAGGGCCCGCACCGAGGACAAACTTCTTAAAAATCGTACCACGGCGCCGGAAACTTTTCCAAAATTTTTGGTTATGCACTCAGACAACGAGGACAAACCGCGGGCAAAACTTTCTCCTTTCCTAGTCGCAAAGACTTTGGAGATGGTAGTTGGAAAAAATTTCAAAGCAAAGAAGCTTTTTTCTGGTGACCTCCTTGTTGAAGTCCATACTGCAGAGCAGAGTACTGCATTACTTGCCCTCAACGAAATCCAAGACTATGCCGTTTCTGTTACCATTCACCGCTCTCTCAATAGCACGCAGGGCGTCATCTCCGAGGATGATCTACTTGGAAGCCCGAACGAAGAGATCCTTGAAGGTCTTAAAGATCAGGGAGTCATCGCTGTTCGACGGATCACTCTTCGTCGTGATGGCCAGGAAAGGGACACTAAACATATAGTTTTAACGTTCAACTCAACAAGTCTCCCCTCCGCAGTCAAGGCTGGCTACCTTAACTGCAAAGTGAGGCCCTACATCCCCAATCCTAGACGTTGCTTCCGCTGCCAACGTTTTGGCCATGGGTCAACCACGTGCAGAGGAAAAACGACATGTGCCAAATGTGCAAGCAATGATCACCCCACAGACAACTGTTCTAGTGACTAGCACACCTGCTTGAATTGCCGAGGACCTCACCCGGCATACTCTCGTTCGTGCCCTAAATTCAAACTGGAAAAGGAAATAATAACTCTAAAGACAAAGGAAAACTTGACTTACCAGGAAGCACGTAAGCGTCTCTCCTTCCTGCAAGGAGGCACGTATGCTGAGGCGGCAGCTAGGGGGGCTGCTCCACCAAAGACCTCTGTGGGCACACAATACTCCGCTCAGGATATTGTGGCCCCATTTAGCCCCCCTTTCCTTGCAAAACCAAGGGTGGATAACACACCCTTACAGACTCCCATGACGCAAACAACCGACACGTCGGTGCGTCTCAGTGGTCTCTCGCAACCCCGACGGCGTGCAGAGGAGGCACCTCGGGGCTCCCCATCCTCCTCTTCTCATCACTCTGGGAGCGCTGCCAGCACATCGGCCACTCCCAACGCCAAGGTTCAGGAGCAGGTGAAATCAAACAAGTCACCTTCATTTGGACGCTCCCAAAAGGTTGTGTTCAACCTTCCCATACTACATGAAAAACAACATAGTACACCTCAATCAAATGCTCTGGTTGCATCCGAGTGTAATCGTGGTGCATCCTGCTCGCATCATGAAGCCCCTGGTGTACAAGGAGGGATGGCTGAATCCTGCACTGATCCTGCAGATCAGGCTACCCCTATGGAAGTTGACAAGCAACCAAAAAAGAAACAGAGCCCTCGCATAACAGGACCGCCCTAGCATAATGCCAGTGAATATTGTGCAGTGGAACTGCAGAGGAGCACGCTCAAACATTGAAGATTTAAAGGATCTGATGCAGGCCCTAGACCCAGAGGTGACCTGTCTTCAGGAAACCTTCCTTTCCGAGTCCGCCTCGTTCAGATTTGGCAGATGCGCAGTATATCGTAAAGACCGTCCTCCGGATGTGAGAGGTGGAGGAGTGGCTCTCATTGTGCAGCCATCGTGTCCTTCAGAGCAGATTCTTTTAACCTCAAACTTGGAAGCAGTTGCTGCACGTATTTACATCGGTATCACGGTAACTGTATGCTCTCTTTATCTTCCACCTAATGAACAGATCACGTTGACAGAGCTAGAACAGCTTGTAAATGAACTCCTAAGCCCTTACCTGCTTCTTGGAGACTTCAATGCTCACAATAGACTATGGGGAAGTCAATTGGATGACTCTAGAGGCAAAGTAGTGGAGAATTTTTTGCTCAAAAATTCACTGAATCTTTTAAATGACAAGTCTCCTACGCATATTACCCTAAGCTTACCTGTAAAATACTCTGCCATAGACTTATCATTTTGTTCAGCTTCTCTTTTTACGAAATTGTCCTGGCGTGTTCACCACAATCCATATAACAGAGATCACTTTCCCATTGTCATCCAACACTCGTGCGCTACTCCTTGTGTTACGAAAAGAGTGCCTCGGTGGATCATTGAGAAGGCAGACTGGGCGAAATTCAGTGAACAGGCCCAGATTCCCGAGGATGGTTTCACCGCACTTAATATCGATGAGGCCACGTCTGCTTTGACAACTGTCATAATTGACGCAGCAACAGTTTCAATTCCAAAAACATCATCACGGTTTCCAAAATACCC